ATTTATATAATAGACTCTTCTGTCAATTTCGACGTATGAGGATCTGACAGCTTACTTGATTCAGTTATGAAAATTTGTGCAAGAATCTTAAGTGACATTTAAGACCCACTAGTGATTTACAAAGGAGGCCACATATGGAGCAAGTGTGAGGATTGTGAGATCACTGTTAGATTGGCTGATCTTTTAGATCTTGCTCTTGCTTCTTGAAGATGATTCTGACAAGCAGAAATTGCTGAGTCCGCTAAAACATGTTGATCTCCATTCTACCCTCTCCAAGGCTAAGCACTCAAGGGTGTTATGTAGTATATTGACTGCTGACAAGTTGCTGTTCAAATTGTCTTTGTATCTTAGCCATCGGTGTCCTACATTCCTGTAACCCTGATATACCTGGCTGTATATTAGGATTTTGGGTATCCTGTCATCAGAGATTCTCAAGACATGACCAGTCCACCGTAACTGAGACTGTATGATAAAAGTCTCGATTCCTCCAATATTACACCTTATATATATAATGAATATGCTTATAAAACGTGTAAATTTCAAGAATTATTTATTCAAGTAAAATTTTGCTTGGAGATGGAACAGAGCTTGGTACTTTAATTCAAATAATTATATTGACGTTTTTGGCTCTTGTTTTGAAACATGAGAATTCTTATGTAGCGATGGAATCATATTTTTAAATAAATAATTATATATATATATATATATATATCTTAAGATTCCTGGACAAAAGGACACATGACATTGAAACTCTGGTTCACATGCAATCAATGAAGATGAGCAACATTGATTCTGGCCAATAACTTGATCAGTGACTGCTTTGGAACATCGTGTGATGTGAGCTTGGATGATGTGCAGGTGATGTAATGGATAATGGCTCAGAATTGTTAATTTGGAGAGCCAAGTTTCAATTCCTGTTGGTTTCATTATATTCACTTATGCACAAATACTCTTGAATCCTCATCTTCTCCCCCCCCCAGCTATGGGTTAATTACTAAGATCTGTATTATCTACATTATTGTCTCCAAAAAAATTGTGTAAAAAGTATTTAGATTTTGGCATAATTCGTAGAGGTTGATATGCCACTAAATAAGAACCACTGACCGACATTCCCACTGCCATGATCTGTCTTCCCGTTGCCTTTTCTATAGATATTTTCATGGTAATTCTTCTAATGAGCTCTCCTCCTAGCTATGTAGACTGCATAAATTTAAGTGTTGAAATTGATGTCACCATCCATTTTATTCTAATAGTTTCTTTTCTCGCACTTCTCACCTGTACAAAATCATTGATCATCACAAAAGCAATAGCAGTGCCATTCATCATACAAACTAATAGATAAAGTAAAAGAAATCTACTCAGAGTAGGCTAATTTAAAATCCAGCAGTCTTAGCAACTTTAATACAAAAAAATATATTATCTCCACTTTTGTACAGATAATATTCCATATTCTTCTAACGCTAAATGCTCTCTTCAGCTTCCTCAGGTTAAAATGAAAGAAAGACAAGACTGTGTGTGTGGGAAGTGTCTTGGGATCTCTGAGGATAAGTACAGAATCATAAATGAAATTAACTTTCGAGCATAAGGTTCACTGTGTCATGCCAGACAGTTTTTTTCATTAGAATCCATCTTGCACATTTATAAACCTACCATTTGCCTCTGAATTGAATATTTCTACCATATATGGGCAAGCAAATCCATCCAATGAAAAACCTACTTGCTGTAGAAACTGCAGTAGCTTCATATCCTTTAGTGGAGACTATGAGTCTTGAGTAAGTCATCAGAGTGAGCCAGATTGTGAGTTAATGCAATATATGTAAATGGTGACAGAGGCAGTGAATAAAACAGAGTCTGAAACAATATTTTTTTTTTTTTTAGCAACCCCTTGAATACAGTAATGTGCTGTTGAACCTAATTTCAGACAATTCTTAAAGTCTTTGATTGTGTCAGCATCATATTTTGACCAAACTGTCCTATGGCCTTCCTCTGTAGTATCATTCATACAGAAAGATATTTCTTCTTTTGGCAATATAAATAAAACCAATTAATTTCAACTTTCTTTTTCATACAATTTATTCTTTGTCTTTCATCTTATCAACACTGCTTTTTGACCACTCTATTCTACGGCCTTCTTTGAGTGTATTGTTCATATGGAAAGAGATCTCTTTTTCCAACTGTGTTAAGTAAATGTAAACAAAGGCAAATCATTTTTTTTCTTTTCCAGATAATTTAATCTCTTTGTCATGTTTTTTTTTTTATTCTATGAACACATTTCAGCCAATCCATTCTACAGCTTCCTTCAGGTTTAATACATAATCTCATCTACTGGTAGAATAAAGCAAACAAAATTACTTTTTTTTTTTTTTTTTTAAATCTTCAGTTAAAGCAAGGACCAAAGGCATGATGACTGGATTAAATTCTCAGAAAAATGTTTGAATGCTGACGACTCTTTTATGATCTCTATCTGATAACCTTTTAATCTGGTTATGCGGAGAAACATGATTTTTAGTAAACTAAATGCCCAAAAGCATCTTGCAGGAATTCTGTTCTTTATCAAAGTAAAGTGTTGTTGGTGTAATCTTTAGAGACACAAATCAGATGAGCCGAGTTCGAATTCCAGCCAAGTTTGTTATAATTGGAAAAGCTATGAATCTATCTCTTTTTTTCCCTCAGATTTGGGTTAAATAATAGTGCGGATTGGGCTCCTTAGCTTTGTTTGGGAACTGATCTAGGAAAAGGACAACTCTGAACTGAAAATTAGTTGGTGGGGGTGACTAGAAAATCCATCCTGAGAAAAACGTACTTGTTGCAGAAACTGCAGTAGCAAGGGTTAGTGTGTTGAGAGTTGTGATCCCATATCTCTTAGTGGAGTCTATGAGACTTGGGTAAGTCATCAGAGTGAGCCAGATTGTGAGTTAAGGCAATATATAAATGCTGACAGAGGCAGTGAATAAACCAGAGTCTAACAAGATATTTAACCAATTTTTTTTTTTAGCAATCCTAAACAATTTAAAAAAATACAGTTTCAAATTACAATTTAGAATAGAAAAAAAGCAAAGAAAGATAAAATATCCAATTTGTTAGTTTTTATTTTTATTTATTTTCTTTTATACAGGTTTCAATGATTGAAAAATATGAGCAATTCTATACATCAGCAAGAATTTGAATGAATTTTGTTGAACAAAAAAAAAATTAAAAAGAAATTGTTTATAATTGGGGGAAGGAGGTTTCTTTTTTTTTTTTTTTGTTAAATTTTGGGTTTTTTTTCCTTATAAATTATTTACTAAAGCTTTGTGCATCAGGTGTTTAAAAATCCAAACACGTTTAATCTTTTTTTTTTTTTTTTATATTTTTTCATTTGTCACAAAAAGTTCTTTAAGCTTGGTTTTATTTTTACTCACATATATATATATATATATATATATATATATATATGTGTATGTTTATTATAAATTTTTGGAGATGCTTTTAATAATTTGTTTTTCTTATTTTTTTTTTAAATTTGTAAACAAATTAAATTTTAATAAACAAGCTTAAGTTCCATTTTAGAACAGACAGACAAATAGAAAGGAAGGAAAGGAGCAGATATAAATTTTATTTTGTTCTTTTTTTTTTTCAATGGGAGCAAGCTATTACATAATTTCAAAAAAAAAAAAGAATCCAATATTTTTCAAAATTTAAATTCATTTAAAAAAAAACTTCCAATTTTGTTTTTAAACTTGTCCCTGACAGCACAATAATTGCTGTACAGCCAACTTGCACATTTATATTATATATATATATATGTTTGTGTGTGTGTTTATTTTATTATATATATATATATATATATATATATATATATATATATATAATCTGAAATTTTTTTAGCAGTGCAAAATTTAATAATGGCATCTAACACAGACATATTTAATAAATGTACTTAAAACCGGAGAAATATTTAACATGAAAAACCGGAAAGATAAAATTTTAAAAAAAAATATTTAATAAGGAACAGCAACCGATAAACTCTCATCAAAACCTCACCAAGAAATAAAATAGTATATATATATCTACATACCAACTAAAAAGATAAAACTAATACACTTTTCCTAGCCCCAGCACATTCTGGTATTAGAAGAGGTTAGCTTTGAAATAATTTGCATAAGACTTTCAATCCAGGTCACAGGGCACCTGATTAAACAGGCCAATGTGCATACCATAGGAACATCTTCTCAATTTTATGCCAATCTCATTCTGTTCCAACTAAAAGTCCTCGAAACAATTTTTATTAAGTCCAGGCAGCCTTCCCTGTGTAAACAGAAAAAATGGCTTCTAGGACTTAATGGGATCTGATTATAGATATTCTGTATATTAATGATTTACCTTTTTAGTCAGTATGTAATTTTACTATTTTGTTTCTCAATCAAGTTCTGACAAGTAAGGAGCAAGTACCAGTAAAGTACCAATTTTCATTTTACTTGTCTGGTCTTTCATATTAAATATCAGTTCTTTTTTTACTTTTGTTTTAACTACATACTGTTATATGCCATTATATATATATATATATATGAATAACAACAAAAAGAAAACTTAGCAGATACATTGTCTTCTGATGGACTTTACCAAGGCAAAAGTAAGGATTTTGATTTGCAACAAGTACTTATAAATAAAAGTAAAAATGTTGTTAGTTTTTCCAAATATTTAAATTTAAGAACACTTATGAATATACTTCAGACTAACTGAAAGTCAAGGTAAACTATGGCAGATGCTAACTGATGTAGTCTAATAAACAAAAGTAAATGTTGTTGAATTTTTATAATGTAACTATTATTTTAGTTTAAGAAATTAATTTCTGTATTATCAACATATTTATATATATACATATAAATAGATGCAGTTGGCTTAAACTGTGCTTTTTTTTTTAATTTGTAAAAATGTTCATTTAGTTTATTCCTCTTTTTGTGTCTGGCTTTCTATTTTCATTATTTTCTTAAAATCCTAAAATATGTCAGGGTTGGATATCACACAGTTGTCACAGAAAGCAGAGGATTGTAAGATTTTCCGTCAGCGACTCGACTTCCATGAGCCAGCATTTCCTGTACAGTTACAAAATCGTCTAATACTTTCCTTCCTTTATGTTTCATCATCTTCCGGTGGCTAAGCTCAAGGATGTTGACTTCCTTTTTGTCTTCTTCTTTTAGGGTCTCCATCTTTGCCTTCATCATAAGTTCTTTCTTTCGTTTTTGATCTCGGGCTTTCTCGATGTGTTTCTTTCGCTCCTCCTTCGGCCAGTAACGGCCAACTTTCAGCTCACTCATGGCTTCATCATCAGTGGTCATGCCAGCCCGTTCTTCCGATATCTTTTTTGCTCGCTCCTTTAGCATTTTATTCCGGATCGGCCTCCTGGTAATGTAGCGAGTGCCATCGGGACGTCGTTTGACGACCCATTCCATCTGGCATCCATCGGATGACTGGGCTCCGGCTCCAGCCCCAGCCTGCCGACCATCTGGACCCCGACTTCCGGCACCCCCCTGTCCCTTAATACGTGACCTTTGTTCCAGCTGTTGCTGGAAAAGTTTTTGCTGGATAGCAATAGTGTGTTCCAGGTTAGCATGATTTGTATACATGACATCGGCGTAACGCATATAGAGGTCTTGTAATGATTCTCCCATGCTTTCACAGCTTTTCAGGTTAGCAGAACCACCAGCCCCCCTTGCAGAGTTCTGTCCAAATGACAAACTCTTTTTAAACTTCAGGCTCTCATCGCTGGAGTGTTCGTGAGGTTTTGTTGGGGTCTGTGTTTGCTTCTCAGTATCACTACCCGATGTCCGATTTCCAGGCGGTACCAAATAAAGCATTGAATTACGGAGTCCTTTCTCACTGTCATCGGACACCTGATTCAACTCAAGGGTTAGTGGAGTGCTTCGACAGCTTTCTCCAGTGTTATAGGCACTGGTAGTGGCCGGATCTTTTTCTTTGTCGGAAACTTTCATAGTCTGGGGAATGAGCTTCGGAGGCTGGCTTCCCTCCTTGCGGATGAGCTCAGCGTGCTCGTGGGGAGTAAGCCCTGTATGCTTAATGTATTCTAACCTGGTCCCCATGCGAGGCACAATTCGTGGACTCTTATGTGGCTCGGATCGCAGCATCTCACGTTGCTGGAGTTGGATTTTCTGCTGCTCTCGCATGTGCGCTCGGACAAGTTCCTGACATTCCATCTGAATTTCTTCCATCTCTTTGTTAAGCATGGCAAGCTCTCTGTCAATGCTGCCCTGAGAGTCCTTGCGACCTCTGTCTTTTCTTGGGCTGGCACAACGGTCCTCAAGCACCTCCCGAAATCTGTCACACACATCAACAGGAATGTCATGACCATTGAAATCCTGTTCGTGAGAAGTGAGACTTTCATGGCTCTTGTGAAATTCCCCGTCTGGCCCATACTGCAGACTGTCAACATCAAAATTTTCCTGAAAAGATAAATAAATATGAATGTACAGAATTAGAAATGTTAATAAAATATTATTTAAAAAATACTTCAGGTTACACCCTTCACCCATAAAAGATCCCAAAACTTTTCATACTTTATTGCGAGAGGAATCTTATTTAAATTAAAAAAGAAAAAATAGACATTTCCAACATTAAGTGTGAATATCTTAACAAAAACTTGAAAAACTGCTTTCTTGTGTTAAATCGCACTTCTGGAGGTTGACCTTCGAGGTCAGATGGAAGACAAAACAAAGAAGTCAATTTTGACTGGCTGAGCTAGTATGGGAAAGAGATCGGAGGAAAGGTTTCCAGGAGTTGGTTCTTACTCGTCAAGAGATGTAGACATGTTCTCTTTCATGTCTGAAACAGCTCCCCAGCATAGATAATATAATATAGATAGTTATGATACAAGTTTACTAATTAACCCATAGATGGTGGAAAATGTTAAATAATAGTTTAGCAGACTATTATTTTTAGAGGCAGTGTATCTCAGATCTGACTTCTGGAGGTTACCAAACCCTGTTAAATGCTTTTGAGATATGTAAAGCTACAGCCCAAGCCTAGCTGTTCTTATCTAAAACCTGACAGACAAACTTAGTAATAATTGTTAGCTCATTGATTTAGAGAAATGAAAACCATATTGTTTATCCGAAAGAAGGCTGTGTGACAGAAGATGCTTAACCAAAATTTAAGCAACTTAAAAATAAAAAATTAAGTATGCTTTGAAATCATTGATTTTTTTTTCATAACAATCTTTTTCATGTAAGAATCATGTATGATCACATGATCCATAACCGATTAGGGTCTAAGGGACACAATATATACTGCAACTGTAGCAGAAATGCTGTGTCTTGGGCAAGATAGCATGACTAAGCCCAGCTCTCTTCAGGCTGGTTTGAATTTAGAGTTTTCCTTCTTCCAAACTAGATGTCAAACTAGGTTATATGACCCAGTCTGTCCTGCTATTTATCCATAGCTGGGGGTGGGAGAAGAGATGGATTCATATCTTTCTGAAGAGGGATTAGCACATAAGTTAATGTAATGAACTCTACCAGAATTAAAACTTGTCTCTCCGATTCCTCAATCCAAGCCATTACTCCACCATGCCTTACCAAAGAAATATGCTCAGTAGATTTATTTTAATCTCAACATATTCCACAACAACCTTTGTTCCTAGTCTACGAACACAATTGCTAAATCTATACCAGAACATAGAATGCATTTAAAATGACCCATATCTATTTTGTTGTGGTTCCATGAGTTAAAATGTAACACTTGCTCATTAATCTTTCTTAGGGCAATGGGATTACATGTGATAACATGTTGCAGGCTACATGGTACAAGCAGCAGACTTTTTGAGACCTAGAGTTTATGGTAACTGTTTCTGCTGAGCTTTCCTCTTTGGTACCTGGACTTGACAAATTTAAGCCCTGTACTAAGATTCTTTCCTCTTTGGTACCTGGACTTGACAAATTTAAGCCCTGTACTAAGATTGTTAGCAAGCTCTCAGCATCTTACAATTGAAATGGCAAGACATGTAACCATAAGTTCCATGCTAACACTTTCTTCTTGCTTGTGGAACTCTCTTCCAGCTTCTTACTTTCCAGTCAACTTTGATCTTCAAAAAATTTATATGCAATGTCAATCATTAAGTTCTGTCTTTTTCATTCCTGTTCTTTTATTGTTCTCACTCCTAAATAGAGACTTTTTTTTTCTCTATATTCTCTCACACTCAGTAACTCCTTGCATCTTAGTGGCTTTATTGTCATGCTTGGGGTTGAAAAAAATGAACAAAACTAAAATCATGTTCTATACATTTTTATAGTAAAATCATTTACAGACATCAGGTAATGGCTAACAAGGCTACTCTATTTAACTGTTACTACTGATTAGCTTTCCAGTCGATATTGTTCTTTAAAAATTAAAATGCATTGTAAATCATTATCTTCTGTCTTCTTAGTTTCTGTTCTTTTGTTATTCTCATTCCTTTAACGTTTTCTTTTTCTTATATTCTCTCACACTCAGTAACCCCTTGTGTCTTAGTGGCTTTATTGCCTTGCTTGGGGTGAAAAGATTTTTAAAAAGTATATACGGACATTTTATTTATTTCAATTTCTAAATAATGATAATGCAGATATCTTTTAAAAACAATTTCTGTTTATAACCACTCAAGGCTAATATTTTTTTTGAGGATTCATGACCTTAAACGTCCCAGAGTGTTTAGCCGTCCTCTTCTATGTGAGGAATATTGGGCCTAACATTGCCAGATTAGTACATGATCAAATTGGCATAGTATTTGAATGCTGAGTTTTTCTTTCTATTGACAGACTGCCCTACAAAGACTAAGGAACTTTTTTTTTTTTTTTTTTTTCACTCTCAGTAACCCTTTGTGTCTTAGTGGCTTCATTGCCTTGGCTGAGGTGAAATGAATAAAAAAAAAACTGCTTAATATCAACACAAACTACCTCGGGTGTAATTTCAACTTGGTTTGTTTGGATCCGTGTCTAAGAGCACGGATCCAAACAAACTTTTTCTTTTATGGGAGAAAATAATAAAAATATCTGTTTTGCTAAGTTGTTCTCAAGTATTTTTTTTCTGTTTTGTTTACCTGTTCAGAGCTCTCCTCATTTTTGGTGCTTTCGTCTGTACGTCCAACCCCACTATCCTTTTCAAGCTTATGAGAAGAGTTTTCCGTGGTGCCTGTATCAGTGGTGGCACCTTCTTCATCCATATGAACCTGAAGAGAAACAAAAGAAAGTAAACATTAGTTCCAGCTTTTTGAGAATTTAGACATTTAAAGAAAAAAAGTGAAGTTAGTGAGAAGGTTATGGTTAAGGTGAATAGAGTTACTTCCTTTGACAGTGCATAGATTGAGAGATGCTATTTATTCTGTTAGGATACAGAAAGTACTTAACACCCTTTGGTGGTGATAAGTAATGTGTGGCACATGATGGCCACATTGTGATGTCACTCCATACAATGACCAAAGTGGCAGTTATTTTCAATTTGTGAACAGCAACCAAATGCTAATACTAGTCTGAATCATTCTCCATTCTCCAACAGCTTACAAGCACAGAGTGCCATTTTTGTTTGGGACGTAGTTGAATCTGGCCTCTTTCAATCTGGAGTTCTAAAAATGGCTTCTCCAGGTCATCAGTATCTCCAAATTATATGTAAGCCTTACCTTTTTGTTACTCCTTATACTTTGCTTTGCAGATATATCTAATATATAGTTCTCCACATAGGATGTGTGTGTGTGTGTGTGTATATATATATATATATATATATATATATATATATATATATATTTGTGATTTTGCGTTTGTCTTAGTATTATAAATGTCTCTCTAAGAACAAAGCATATTTGTCATTCTCTTTCCTTTCTAATATTCTGTTTCATCCATGAAATGTTTGTTGTGTTATATCTGCGATATAACAATGCCCATAATGGGAGAAGCGTAAATGCAAGAAAAAATCTTTCTTCCAAGCACTTCCATTACAATTCCAACCAAAATGTGTGGAAATGAAGGTCACGAGTCTTGTTAAACAAAGCACCCACATATTGCATGTATTCTCTGCCAAAAGTAAAAATTCATGCCATATCGCAAGCTTGATAATAAAGAAATCAAGAAGATGTGCAAATTATTTATTGGATAAATGATAGCAAATTATTTATTGGATAAATAATAAGCATCTCTTATATATGCCTATATAAAATGCTAAGAGTTGATTACCAGGGTGAGCTAATCAGAAGACTTGTGCATGTTGATGATCATTAGTTTTGATCTTTAGTGACGATGTACAAATTCCTTCCACTTACAAAGAGGGGGAAAATTTTTTTTGGTGGTGGAGTGGAAGCAAGCTGGACTCATACTCCAGAGGTCTGTAGATTGCAACTATGGCCTGCTACTTAAAATAAATTCATTTATTTTATTTATTCATTTATTTAAAATTATTTTATTAAATTGTAATGGGAGAATATGAAATATAAATCTAAAATATAAAAGAAATGTCATGTTAAATTTCATACAAATTGTCTTATAAAAATTATTCTATTTCCTATTTCAAAGAAAATTCTAAAGTATGATTTGTTAATTAAGAAACAGAAAACTTTAAGGGTTCATGGTAATTATAATTTATTTCCTTTTGAACTGAAATCAATTCTAATTCTTCAGATCAACATTTTCATACAAATGTTGATCTGAGGAATTTCAATTCTAAGGAAATAAATTATAATTACCATGAACCCTTAAAGTTTTCTGTTTGTTAATATAATTAATATTTAGTCTGTTTTTACATTGAGCTCTCTGAATTATATCCTCCCTGGAATTATCCATACAGATTACCAAACACATCTTCATATATATATATATATATATATATATGCTGGCGTGCCTTGACCACTCGGCCACCATGAACCTTATGGTAGACAAGGTCGAATTTACTGTTATAAACTACATATATATATATATATAATTTAATTTTCTTATTTTAGTCAACTGGAATTGTATATTATTTTATGATGTTTCTAAGGAATATTCTTTCAGGTGAGTGTTGTTGTTTTTGTTGACTGGAGCCTGAATGAATATATTTTTTAAGTATGTATCTAGAGATATAGGAATTTTTTTTATTTTACAAACACAGTATATTGTGGCCATGTCCATAATTTATATTACTTTTTTATTATTAATACTTCCATTACTTTTAGTTTGTTTTACATGTGGATGGGGATATTATACTTGTATTTTCTATAAATTTGAATGGATTTAGTAGGTTTCCATGTGTGTCTAAATGAGTCCTAATTGAGCTATGGTCAGAGAGATGTAAAGTTAATCTTCTTGATAGGCATGTAGTGGTATGCCCAATATAATTATTTATGAATTTGGTTTGATCAGGAACACAGTTTCTTAAAAAGGGGCATGTGAATTTATAAATGAAATTAGTTCTCTGTAATTTAGATCTTGATGATAAGGTTAGCTTTTTAAGTGTTCTTTATTGTAATATTCACAACATTTCGGCCATTGTACACTCTAGCCTTCTTCAGGTGATTGGAATTTTGATCTGAACCCTTTATTTTTTCCACTAGTGCCATGATGTCTCAGATATCATCTTTTAGCTCAACTCTCCATCTATTTGTTCACCACTGCAGGTATTGAACTCACAATGCTTTCGGTCAAGTCACTGGATCCATCCAATACTTTTATCCACTGGGCCATGTGTCTTTGAGGATAAATTTTTGGGACTTATAAGCCATATATCTCATTAAAAATATTTTTTTTTACCAGAGCTCATATTACAATTTTTGTTATTTTCTCTAGTACTCCCTATTACTGGTACCCATATTGTATCCATGTCTATGCTTAGCCGGCTTAGGAGATTTTTGTAGCCTAGCATATGCACTGATTCCTTAACTTTTCATATGTTCCAGTGATGTTCTTTGTCTATTATTTCAATTTCATTCCGCAGGGGGCAGTGATCTCCCCCTTGTTTGTTTTTTTATTTCACTTCATATTACAGCTTTATGATGTTCTTACCTTAAAGGGGCTGCCTGTTTCTACTTTATATTTCTTACCATAACTTCACAGTACAACATACACACAGTCCTTAGGGGCACCTTGAGGTGGTGTAATGGTTAGCAAGGTTGTATCACTAGAACTATTATGACTGAGTAGTGAGTTTGATCCTCACTGGGTGCCCCATACTTTCAGCTTTGTGCCACATCTGAGCTATGCTTGGAAAATCCCTACATAGAGTCTTTAGTCATTTTCTCCTCTGTGGAGAGTCTCACTTGAAAGAGGTGTCTGCAAAGTGTCGAGTCACTTTTGAAGGTCGTCCTGATTTTATATGGACCACAGCTCTTTTGTATTTTTTCCGATAATCCCTTCTTATAGGGTTGACAGGCTGAAGCTGTTTTCTGAGTGTTGTTATCCTCTTGCACGCTTCTATTCCAGTTTGTTGGAGCTGCTGCCATGTACTCAGGGTAGTTGTTGCATTGTAGCATACTGCTTAAACTGACTATATCTTGATCACATGTCTAAGGGTCGCCACTTATAACTTTTGATCAATGTTGTAAGCAGCAGACAGTCTCTTTCTTTACACTATAAGGGTGGTGGGAGTTGAAGTTGAGGTATGTTGGCTTGTGGTATATGGATATCTTGAACCCATGCTCTGTTTTAGAGCATGTATTCAGAACTAGAACAATCTACTCTGATGCACGAAATAAAGGGTTTGGTTTGAAATTCCAGTCACCTGAAGAAGGCCAGAGTGTACAATGGCTGAAACATTGTGAATATAACAATAAAGATGAAAACAACAGTCTGAACAATGTAAATAGTCTCAATATCTCATCTCAAAAATATAGACAGCTCCTGAAGAAGGTCAGAGTATATAACGGCTGAAACATCATGAATATAACAATAAAGATGAGAACAACAGTCTAAATAATTATGAGACCTCATCTCAGAAATATAGACAGATATAAGCTCATCTGTTTTCAATTTTTCATAGTAGATAATTTAATTTTCAAGTTCTGGTCAAGTGGGGTTGTATATTTCTGGGTAATGTCTCTATGAGAAAATTAATCTTGCTTATAGTTAATGTGTATTTGGCTTTTATAGAAAATGTTAATGTTATTATCTGTATGTTCAATATTGCTACTAGTTACTTTAGAAAGAAATAGCCTAATCTGGTGATTGATGAGGTAGTTCAGAAAACCATTGTTAACTAGCACCTCTTCCACATTATTGAGTTCTTTAAGGAAAACTTGTCAAGAGAATGAAACCTCATATGGTATCTTGAGTAAATATTTTATAATGCCTATTTCATATTTAAGTGTGTATTCACTCATAAAATTAAGGTGGCAAACAGGTTCTATTACAAAGAAAACACTTATACTAACACAAGAAAAATTAAATAAAAATGCTTAATCACAGTACCTTGTCAATCATCATTAACAAAACTTGTATAAAAGAGGGTTTTCTGCCCAAATACACAAATATATATATATATATATATATATATATATATATATATTTGTGTCTGAAACCCTAATGAGCTTGTGCTAAAGCATCAAACTGATATATTTCATGAAATAGTAGATATTATATTATACACTACAAAAGTTTAAAGCCACCCCAGAATTAGCATAGGATATACTTGAAAAAAGATTGAACAAAAAATGGAATCGATTATCAAATATAATTTGAAAAACTTTTATGACAAATGCCAAAAAAATTTAATCAAAAAATGCATTTTTTTTTTCTTTTTGCCATAATAAAATTTAAAAAAAAAAAAAAAAAAAATCATGTCTCACTTTTTTAAAACATATATAACAATAAAGTACAAAAAAGTACCAGGGGTTGCATCAAACTTTTGAACTGTAGTGTATATAAAATATATACTATGGTCTATTTGGTATATTATATATATATATATATATATATATATATATATTTTATATGCATGGTGCTTAGTGGAGATCGCTCAATATCAGGGATAGAGGTTAAGTTGTATTGATATGAGTTTGTGACAAACTCATATATATATACACACACACATATATATATATATATATATATATATATATATAACATCCATTATGTTCTCTCTTTTTGTTACATACATTATTATATATATATATATATATATATATATATATAATCTAATATTGAAATTCATGTCCTCAGCACTTTTCCCTGGATTACTAATTAATCCCCAGCAATCTTTCACTTTCCTTGCCTCCCTCATGACATTGGCAATAATATCAGCCGAGCCTTCACATTTTCCAGCAGAGTATCAACTGGCTGTTCATTAAGCTTCTTCCACTCTCTGCTTCTTCATCCATTTACCAAATTTATATATTCAAAGATATCAGAATAAATCGCAGAATCAGTGTTCTTGAACAATTCTCTTATTTTGGCAGGAGGAATTAGAAACCTAAGTGGTCAGTTGGTTCGAGGTGTTGTTAGGCAAGCGGGTCATCAAAATTGGTCACTCGCAAATCCCTGCACTGCATGTTAGAGGCGTGGTGATCTTTGCCGACCCAAGTGTCAGCGAAATGCATAACCACAATCATCCATCATTAATATTTATGGCGAAATCAGTAAATTGTTAATTGCTACAGAACCAGCATTTCCCCAGTTTCACAGCAAGTGGATTTTCTTGACACAAATTAAACCTATCACTGATTCAACAAGATTATTAGGCTTTGTTTTAATAATTTTTGTTGGGAGTAAAATGTTTGAATTCTAAGTTTTATCAATTTATTCTGTTGGGTTGATGAGACTGGCACAAGGTCATGAGAGTTTTCTTTTCCTTTGATGAGTCTGTTTGTCTTGTAATGGATCAGTAAACTGATTCATCTGGTACATGGCCACAAGTAATGTGTCTTCCATTGCTGAATTAGTTTATCTTGTGCACGGATACAAGTGGGGTTTTTACTTTTGGTGAGACCATTCATTTCATACAGTGTTTTGTTTCATCTGGCATATAGATGCAAACAGATGCCAGATGAACCAGAGTTTTAATTCCACTTGCATATAAGCTACAGATGTCTTTGCTTTTGAAGAATCACTTCATCTGGCACAGAGCAGTAAATGTCACTTTCTTCCCCCCCCCTTTGGTAACCCAGCTCACCTGGAATAAGTCTGCAAATGGTATTTTGTTTTCTTTTTACAGACTTTTCAGCAAATCAGCTCATTTGGCATGGAGCTTCACACTTCTTTCAAAGAGTTGCATAGCTTGAAGGTCTTCCAAGGTTTACAATATTTCACGAGGGAACAGATTGGTGACCAGTGCTTTTTGAAACTTGACTATCAACTAACATTATTTATTAAGCCAGTAGTATCTGACTTATTAAACCTACAATGATTATTGCTACCTGTCAAGTAACATAGAAGTAACAGATTTTTTCTTCTTTCCCCTCATAAATACTAGTATTAACTATGAACACACATATATATATATATATATATATATATATATATATATATATTTTTGTTAGCATCTTTGCCCTCTTCCTGGAATTCGCTGTCACTGTCCGTATAATCATTAAAGTAAAAGAAAATTTGATATGAATCGTTATTTTTAACTTGTCCCCTCATTATTCCTACATCATCTTGGTTCGATGCACACCAACGATTAACTTATGCTTGACAAAAATAATTACATCTCACATTATCCAATTAAAGTGAATCAGAATCATACTATAAGGAGGTAATGAAACAATCTCAGCCAGACCAACTTCCCAAAAATATATATTTTTTTTTCTTTTCTGAATCCATTCTTGGTCGGACTAAGAACTTTACTTTTTAGCATAGCAAAGTTAAGCCTAGTCAGTACCTAGGTGGGTAACTGTTTGGAAATACTAGGTGCTGTAAGTGGTCAATAGATTTTTAGTGTCTGTCACTAGAACCACATCACATCGAATCTCTTTTTCATCTTTAGAGGAGATTGTCCAGCATTCTCTGCCTTGTAAGAGATTAGATATTACACAACAGTTAAGTGCTTTTTATTTTAACAGGAATTTTTTTTTATGTCCCTAATGAATAGCTTTCACCTTGTACTCTCTCTCATGCTGACTGACTTACAGTCATATCGCGTTGAAACACCAGTATGATTACTGAAGTTAAGCAATGTCAAGCCTGGTCAGTATCTAGATGAGTGACCACTTGGGAATACCAGGTGCTGCAAGCTTGGATGTGCCGGTGGTCTAATGGATAATGGCTTGGAATTGCTAATCGGAGAACAAAGTTCAAAATCCTGTTGGGTTTGTTATATCACTTACACAATAAATTACTTTTGGGAATGGTATGAATCCACCTCTTCTCCCCCACCCAATTATGTTAATTAGTAAAACTTGTATCAGGAAATTATAAATATCAAAGCAATAATGTCATTAAGATCAAACGGGTTACTGGCAGTGGAAAAGAATGAGAGGATTTTGGAGAGGATAGCATGTTCAAGTAGACAGAAGATGGCAATTGATTGCATTTAAATTTAAAGATTTGTATCACTAAAGCATCTGAAAAAAAAAAAAAAATTCTTACACTCAAAAAATATTTTCTGGCTTAAAATAACCTGCAAGTGGCTGATAAGCTGTAGAAAACAAATCAAGCAACCAAAAAAACTAAATTTTATTTATTTGTTTTTTTTTTTTAAATTTTGGGAAAAGCCAGAAATCAAAGAGTTAAATCTGGACTGTGTGCATGATTGGGAAATGTAATGGGGGTGTGATGCTTTGCTGGAAAGAAACTCCTGCATGAGAGTTGAAGAACCAGCAGGCACACAGTATGCAAGCTCACAAAATGGCAACTCATTGCCAATTGAGTAACCCCATGGGAGAATGTATGTTTATGCATGCTCTGTAAGGTCTCTGATTGGTTGCTAAGTCATATGCAAGCTGCACAACTCATTCTCAAGATAGTCAAAATCACTGGCTAATTTCCGAACTGTCCTTATATATGGTTGGGAAAAACAAGGAAAAAAAATTTGAATTGGGATTCAGACAGCTTTCTAGTTTTTAGTTAGTGTAAGAAACGGCTGGGGAAATCTGCTTAACTCAAAGAAGTTACCCAAAGATTCTTTTAATGTAATTGGACAAAGCCCACCCACCCACACCACCAACAATATCACCACGGGCCCTCTTTAATCTGCAGAAATGGAAGAGAGTCATGACTTTTGTTTACCACACTGAATAAATAACCAAAGTGTTAGACAATATCCATTACTTATTAAATGAGTGTCAGCCTGCACTCCCTTACCTCCTTCACCCCACCACCCCCAAAATCTTGTTGCCATGCCAACAAAAGGAAGAGATTATTGAGCAAAATGTACCGACTAGTCATCTTCTAAATTTCATATACTTGTTTATACCTACCAACCTACCTATGTTTGGTGGGGAGGAGGAAGAGGAGGAGGGGGGTAATGGTTCCCACACTCCTCCAATGACCCAACTATTTCCTGTTATTTTATGAGAGTCACCCATCAACTAATAATCTTCATAAGGATGAGGTGGCAAAATATTTTTACTTGTAATAATATGGATTAAATCTGACAGAATGATTAAATAAGGAACAAATAAAACCGCCATAAATTTTCAGCACCCTCTGCATACATATATGCAATCACTTATCTCTCTCTTCCACATGTCAGTCTCTCTATGTGGTAAATGTAAATTTGTTGGTATATAATCCAAGTGGATCCTAGTAATATAAAATATTAAAACTGATCCACAAAAAGAGCTCAATGTATTTATTATTACAGAGCAAAAATTAATAAACAATAAAGACCCAAATCACCTCATATGGAGAAGACAGACAAAAATATAATTTGTCAGTCTTAAACAACCCCAGTATAAGATATTTAACTGTGAAAGTTTTATATATATATATATATATATATATATATATATATATATATATATAAGTTTCCTTAAAGCTTTTTATTCAATTTTTCTTGTGTTTATATAAGTATTTTTTTCTGAACATAAAGTATGTAAAAACTGCCCAAAAGTTCTATATATTCATGTACTTTCTGCTATTCTATTAGGCATTATCAAGAAAGTTTTATTTTTTTAATTTTTTTTTTGGACATTTCAGAACATTTGGACAATTTTTACACATTTTCTGTCCAACAAAGAAAACCCTTATAAGAGCACAAGAAAAAAAATTAAATAAAAATCTTAATCATAGCACCTTGTAAGTCATCTTTAATGAAACTTTTATAAAACAGACATTGCTTCCCAAATATACAATTTTATATATATATATATATATATACACACACACACTTATGATAAGATAAAAAAACAAATAGGAAACCTTTTATCAATCTAACATGTTTCACTTTATTAAAACTTTGTCAAAGATTGACAGAAAAAAAAGACAGAACTTTGGTATTTTCAATTGTTTCGTTTGATTCCTTTATCTACACACACAAGAAAGATTTGCATTTAGATAACCTTTCTAACTCACTTGTATTACACAGGAACAATGCTTGGCCATAACTTTGATTTCATTTATGCTACCCTAATTAAAAAAGAACAGATTTCTATAAGGAGAAAATACTTTGAAAGCTTAATAACAATATTAGTACCAACAAATACACACTTAAAATATTACAATCCTTTTTCGAGTTCATTCTTATTGTACAATGCTCACTTAGACATATTAGAATTTTTAAAAACTTACATATAGAATTATCTGTGGTTTTAATACATATGATACACAACTGACCAACAAGAATTGAACCAAACAAAATGAAAATATCAAAATTTTCTCTTCTCTGATGAAGCTTCAATAAAAGTGAAACATGTTAGATTGATAAATGTTTCCTATTTGTTCTTTATCTTCTCATCCTATCAGATTCCAATCTACATTTAATCTTTAACATATATATATATATATTGTGTATATTTTGGCAGCATGTTTCATTGAATAATTTAAACAAGTTTTGTCTACTTAATTTCAATTGGATACTTTCATATTCATAGATATGCTTCTTGGTGTTGTTACTAAAGGAAGAGTGAAAATTACTGTCTTGATTCATATTCATTTATTCCGAGTACTTTCAATATTAGCAAAATGTCATCATCAGGGTGTTTCTTTTTTCTAAGACAAAAATTATAGTGTTCATCATTTTCCTAAAACAAAATTGTTGTGTTCATGTGAAAGTTAATTTTTTTTTTTATAAGTGAAGTGAAAACTGCTGAGGTTATATACTGTATGATTTAGCGTGGTGTAAAGAGTTGGAGGAGGGTCCAAGTATTTTTTTTTTTTTTTTTTTTTTTTTTTTTAAGTATTAAAAATTATTAGTATAAACCTAGATAATTTAAAATACCTACTGTAAGCAATTTAAAACATTTGAGCACAATTCATTATTAATTTTAAATTAGATTTGCTTTTATATAAAGTCCATGTAAGCAAACTACTTTTACCTCCATTAACTGTGAGGCCCTGATGGTCAAACTGGTTATGTCCGGCATTCAGACCTTTTCCTCGTATTCTTTCTCTTCTTTTTTATTTATTTTATTATTCAAACTAAACTCGTCTCAAGTTTGTATTACTTTTTCTAGTTTCATCCTTTTGGTCTTTAATAAATCTTGTGTTGAAAAGAACTTTATTTTCAGATCTTTGAGTACCATAAGGCATTTATCTGGTTGTCTGAGGTATGCACATGAGCAAGACAGTACAATAACATTATGTAAGTAGCAACAATAATAAGATGATTGAATAACAAGTGAAAATTCACGTCACTAAATATACTTTTTCATTAATCTAAAACCATATCAATTTTCCTTAGTCAATAATCAAAATGGAAATGTAATTTTCTGAGAGGCCCTATAGATGTTCTCCATCAAGATCAATTAACTTCAGCATCAGAGATTTTCTTGAACGAAATGAATAATAATCATGAGATTGTCATTGGGGAGCTAAATTAATCTGTCAGATGGTGATCAACATGTTTTCATTGAGTGAGACATCACTGTGTTACTTTAGGTAAATTATTCTGGAAAAAAAAAAAAAATGATTATTTGCTTACCTGGTTCAACATGCCGGCCATGAACTGGATTTTTTCATGTTGTCTCTCTTCCAAAATATCATCAAGCACAATGTTTTGCTCTTCCATGAAGCCATCATCCAACTAGAAACAGATAAAAACAAACAATAAGATTTACAACCAGATGACTTACCTTACACCTACCTAGATGCATTGTCATTTTAGGATATTATTTCTGTCTATGTACATGTACTTCTATAAACAAGTGCACACCCTCATAAAATTTGTTCACAGCCATATAATGTTGAAACACAGGTCCCCAAACGATCACAAAAGTTAAGCAATGTCAAGCCTGGTCTGTACCTAGATGGGTGACCACTTGAGAATACCAGGTACTGTAAACTTGAACGTGGCTGTGGTATAATGGTTCAGAATTGTTAATCAGAGAGTCAAATTCCTATTTCAGTCAGGTTCATTATATTACTTTGGGAAAGGCATGAATCCACCTCTTCTTCCCCCAGCTATGGGTTAATTAGTAAGACTTTTGTCATCTGTATGACTAAATCATTTTCCATTTACAATCTAAAAATATTTTCTGGTTTTAAATAACCAACTGTAGAAAATGCATCAATCAACGCACATAAAATCAATTAGTCTTATTTTCCATAACCCACAAATTATTTTAGGGACTAGTTTTTTTTAATCAATATCAGGTTGATTTATAAATAATTTCTATTTTGTGTCTCAATTTTATTCTTCAAAAAATAAAGTACAATTACATTTTCTTCAATTATATAGTAGGAGACATCAGTTTATTTTGAGAGATGGTGTCCTGTTTGTTCAAAATCTCGTCCTTTGGTTTTTGTGGCATATGGAGGCCATGTTTGCTGCCCAAACTACATAGCCTCACACTTAGTCGTATTGACAAGATTCAAATGAATACATAATTTGGGGCTGGCCTGGCTGCCGAAAAGTTAACAGCCAAACACCTTTGGAGCTCCACTCCAGATTTTTTGTCCTGATTTACTTCCATAGCCTTTTCTGTTTTGGGATATAACCACAAGGCAATGGAGGTTTAAAATCCGTTATATATTAACCATTATTTGCAATGACTTGTTGGTTGTGGAGAACTTTTTGCGTAAAAATCCTGCAGGTTTTGATGTAAAAATGTTTTCAATGAACTCTTGAATCTGGTTTTCATTGATTAAAAAAAACAGATCAACCAATTTTCAAAAGTAAATTTGTTCATGCTGTAGAGTCACTTGCATTGTCTTTTAATCCAATGTGTATGCTGCCATTGCTGTGCAAAACTTAAAATACTTGAAATTTATTCTTAACTGTCGTGTATGATTAGTAGCTACAATGAAACATTCATTATTAAAATTTGTCCCCCAATATTGCTTTACCTGAGATGGATATCCTGCTTGCTGACTTTCTCTGTCACATGCTATTTGTTGGTATAGACTCTGATATGTTTATTTTTTCCTCAGTACTTTGCATAAACTGCCTTTCCCAAATGAGTTTAGATTCTCATCATTAAAGACTATTGAACACCCTACTTTGGGTTCATATTCCAGCAATGTTTCTCCAGAATAAAACATTGCAAACCAATTCTAGTTATGTATCCTTAACTAATAAACACTACATATCTTTTTCTTTCTAGAATAACGAAAGTGATTTTGGCACCAATCTTTCACCTTTCTACAGATTTCTTTTTCTTTATTATCTGTGGATTGCTATATATTCTTGTAAAAGATAGGGTTGTGCCGCCCCCAATACAAAGTTTTCTCTTCTCTTAGACTCGTAGATGTTCTCAGAGCATTATTCCCTTGACCGACCTCACATAACATTAAATTGGTGTGGTTAAGAAATTTATTCTTTAATCCACAGTGTATGCTACTACTCATTTGCTGAAGCTCAATAGGTAGATTATACATTGTTTTCCTCTGACCATCTTGCATTCCTTCTGTCCTGTGAGTATCAAAATTTCCAAGCCTTCTTTCTTATGTAGCCAAATGTAATTCATATTTATTCCTAACTGCTAGGTATGATTAGCAGTTAGAAAGGTACATTTGTCACTTATAATTGGTTCCCCAAAATGCAAATTACTTACGATTTAAGTTTTAGCTGACTCATCTAGATGTGCCTGGTGGGAACTGAACTCACTAGAGTAGTAATGGTCTGCATGAAATGCTGGGATTCTACCTGATACTGACCAAAATTAATTAGAGAGATGAAAGTAGGAAGATTGTATAACACCAATTGTTTAAATGGAGATTTTTTTTTTTTGCTATATTCATTTCTTTATCTCCCTGCAATTTTTTCCTTTATTATCTGTGAATTAATTGCTATGAATTCTTGGAAAAGATACTAGAATGGTTTTCCATTGACTTTCCCACAGTTTGAAATTCAAACTTTTTCCTGCTCTTAGATTCTCAATTTAGACAAGAAAACCTAGTTTACCCTACTATTTAATCTATTTTTAAATACACCTTCCTTTCAAGAGGTAGGTGATTACAGTTCTCTACAGATCCCTTTCAGTTATCTATGAATTGCTTCTCTTAGACTGGTTTCCAACCAAGGCTACAGAGCCCAGTATAATTTGCTGTATAGCCAAGGAGAAAAGAAATTATATTGTGCCTTTACCAAGGGCATTATGCAAAAGTGAAGGTTACAGAATCTGAACCCAGTTCCCTGATTCCATATACACACAGATGTGAGCAATCATGGTTCTCCACAACTTCCTGTCCTTTGTAGTTCTTAGTAAAGTTTCTCTTTTTTGCTATATCTCCTAATCCCCATTCTCCTAACAATTTAAACAAGCTTGTTCTTCTTCTATGTATAATTTCTGGAATGTCAACACATTGATTATGTCATTATTTTGTCTTCAGGTTACTATGTGCTATCCATTTTAGTTGTTACCAATGTTGGTATTCTGCCAGTGATGAGGTTTCTGTTATTTGGTACAGTTCTTTGTTTGTGATTCTGTAGCACCAGTCCCCAATGTTCAAAGAAGGATGGTCTTTACCAAGATGCTCAGAGCATTAACAGCTACTGGACTTTATTCCATCATTCTTCAAACTCAGGTAACTGGTGCCCCAAAATTCCAAACTGTGCCAAATTCCAAAAACCACATCACTTGAGGACTTTCAACAGCAGCAACAACTAAAATGGATAGTAGCACATGTAACTCAAAAAGAAAATAAAGTCATAATCATGATGTTGATCTCCAACATTACTTCAAACAAAAGGTTAGGAAGGAAACTTCCATCAATACTGGCAAGAGTGATAACAGCAAATTTGAGAAACATATTTTCCTAAAAAATTGTCTCAAGAGAAAGATTTTATAGATTTCAGATGAAAGTAGTACTGGCTGCTTGGTCAATGAATGCCAAATGTTTCCTTATAGGGAAACAGTTAATATTGCTATTACCATTGTAAAGGCTGAGATCTTAACTGTTTTTGGATGAAATTTCAAAAACATCAATCTTTGTCAGACATCATACATGCGCACACACACACACACACACACACACACACATATATATATATATATATGCACAACTTGTAATCTTGTCATAGCGATTTGCATGTGATAATGAAAGCCATTCTTAAAATCCATTGCTTCAGGACGAGAAACGAAAGGAACCTAATGAGGATAGCACTCAAACGAAGAAAGTAAGAATGTTTAATTGTCTTAGATTCAGGAACTGATTACAGCAAACTGCATTCATGAAATGGACAAGTGGACTTGCAATCCATGTTTCTCTTCTATCTATCTCGACTTTGTAAGTTGTGCTGAGTGGGGGTGCTGGGCAGATATGTTGCCTTCACTTTCCTTGACCCATTCCATTAATCACTGAAACTAATTAACTTCTGAGTCTTTGACCCTTTACGAAGTGGACACTGAAGGGGGTCATAGGAGGCAGGGGGGGTGGAAGATGTATATTGTGTATGAGAAAGAAAAAAAAAAAGAGAAAGAAATGTAGAAAGAAGGAGTGGAAAAAAAAAATTAGGGCCCCAACAGAGAAAGATGATAAGTTCAGAAAAAGGAAACAGATAAAATTAGCGAGTGGGGGTGAAGCATTAACATGTCTCAAAATGACCAGGTGCAAAACAGTATAAAATAAATTAGAAAAACAATGCCAAAGATCCACTCAAGTTAGTGTCTGACAGAGGTAACTGTATCATTCTTGCAGGAATCGTTTCCAAGAAAGAAGGTCTTTGAATGGAACTTCCTTCTTACCAATAGAATACAAATGGAATGATGATGATTTGATCCTGGGTACATGACACTGTGAGTTTTAAAGGTTTAAACCAATTAAACTAAAGAATGTAATACTGAAAATAGAAGGGAACAAACAAAATAAGATTATGGAAGATGACTGGCAATGGGACTAGGTGCAATGATTATATTTTGGTAATGTGTTTTTTTTTGTTTTGTTTTGTTTTTTTTCAAGTGATGACAATCTTGGAGCTAGTTACAGTTTGGTAGGAGCTGGTTAGATTTGAACCTAGATAGCCAGCTCTGGAAATTGTTTACGTTGGAAATGGGATGAAGATGGAAACAAAAAAAAAAAAAAAAAAAAAAAATGGTGAATAAGAAGAGATCTAGCCAAGCGAACAAGTAAACAAATATTGAAATTTACTTTTGGAAAAAATAAACATTGGGTTTTGGATTCGAAGTGCGTTGGGGGAGGGTATTCGGTTGGTGTGAATTTGTAAGTATTTTGTCTGTAATTGGTGAAATTAAGAATCAGAGTTTAAGTCTGACAAAAAAAAAAAAAAAAATGTGTCCCCGGGGTTGGGGGGGGTTCAGGAATAAGAAGATAGTGAAGAATATTCTTGAGGTAATCTAAGTTTTAGGTGGCAATTCTCTTTGATCAGCTACATTGTTTGTTTTTTTATTTATTCATAGGTTGGTGGGAGAGGGAAATGGAAAGATAAGCAAAACGAAAACCAGCCAAAGGTTGAGTTAGGATTCATCAGCAGAGGAAAGAATAAAATTCACTAAAGTAAATTATATAAACACTAAAAGAAACAATAACTTAAAAAAAAAGAAAAGTTCGTTTTTTTTATGTTTTGCTTTATTTTACTTTTTAAATATCGTTTCTGTTATCAAAGATCTAAAAGACATTGCCAGAAACCAGAAGTTGCTTATTTTTCTCTGGAAGCAAAATAAAAGCAGAAGAAAGATACATCTTAAAAATGAAAGGAAAGATGACGAGTAGTTGAAAAATAATTCATTATCTCTTTCAAAACAACTAGCAGAGTACCCATCAAAAATGATAAGATTATTAACATACAGATTGGCACTTCTCTTTGCATTCTTATAAAAAGTTTTAAGTAGAAACAGTCTGTACCCCTCTCTTTCTCTCTCTATAATATATATATATATATA